AGACACCCCACCCCCCACCCCAAAGATCTCTATTGATGACGAATAAAGTTCATGCAAATACAAGCTCCACACATTCACTGTCACTAACACACACACATAGAGGGGAGTACACATGGAGCTTTACATCCTGTTTAATGACTGCTCCCTCTCCCTCCCTCTCTCTCTCTTCATTAAGCATTATCAACCTCTCTGGCCTAATCTCTCTGAAATTAGTGTCTGGTCTCTACCACCTAAGTGACTGGCTGGCATTCATTAGCGCTGCGTTTTAGCCAAATCAATCACGCCGCGCCCCGTCCGCCATGCTTTCTTAAAATGTCATCCTCAAACTTCTCACAATCAATTAAGCGGGAGATTAATGAGGCCAATTTGCCGCCAACACGTCGACCTTCCTTCTCTGCTGAAAAGGCCGCGCGTGTGCGTGCGCACACACACACGCACGCACACACACACACAATGACGTAGATACACTCCTGGAGTAATATGTGTACATAGAGGAAGGCTGATACACACACAAACATACACAGATGTTCATCGCATCACTTCCTGTATAAACCATGTTTGTCTGAACAGTTCAGACACAAGATGGCCGACCACAAACCTGCAGCACAGCGACTAAACATGCTCGTTAAACTGACAGAGACACGTCGACTTCCTGTCTGATGACAGATTTAAAGGGAAAGGGAAAGGGAAGTATGAAGCTTAAATACAATGAAATGATCTGTGTTCAGTTTGTTATAATGTTAAATTATATAATAACATCAGTGTTTATGTCTATTTTATATGTAGCTGTAATAAGCACTCACCTTCATTGATCTAATAATGTCTTCATTGCCTTCATTGATCTAACACTGATTCATTCATGTGCAGCTGAGTCAACATGTGGCTTCAACGTCTCTAACAAGTTTATTAATAAAACTTAAACAAGCAAAACTTTATTTATAATGCACATTTCATTGATTCCAGGTGGAAGCACGACATGCTGCACAAAGCATGAATTATCAAGGAAGTTTCAACCATAATAACTATGTGGATAGTGTAAAGAAAAATACCTTTAACACCAATTAAAAACATATGAATGATACATATGAATAAAATAATTAAGACCAACAACCGATCAGTGTGTAAAATAAAACTAATACAAGGCAGGAATAAAATATGATTAATAAACTGATCAATAGTCCAATGAGAATAACACATATAAAACTAATAAAAAACATAAAGTAAAATAAAATGGTAAATTTAGAGCAGCAAACCAGACAACTGCAAAGCAGCTAAATGTAAAGTTTTCAGCACTTCACAACCGACACAAACATGAAGAAGAACGGATCAGTGATGAATCATGAATCTGTCCCTCTGAAGCTGCAGCGTCTCCATCCTGCACTGACTGAACTTCACACACACACACACAGACACACAGACACACACACACACAGACACACACACACACACACACACACACACACACACACACACACACACACACACACACACACACACACACACACACACACACACACACACACACACACACACACACACACACAGACACACACACACACACACACACCTTCCCTCATCCAGGTGAGCGGGGGCCCACATTGTTCATGTCACTTCCAATCTCGCAGCTGCCTCAATCTGCCTCGGGATCTGCCTCATATGGTTGTCATAGCAACTCTCCAGGGATTATAACAAGGTATTATGGGATGTCTAGTGTCTCGAGCTGCAGGATCAGCACGCAGTGTTAACACACACACACACACACACACACACACACACACACACACACAGGGCGGTGATGCTCAGCGCAGCGTGAGCGGATGCGTGGCGGCGGCTCAGCTGCTCTCCGCTTGTTCCCGCCTCATGTTAACACTCACACACGACAACATGATGTGCAGAGCGGCGGAAGAGGAGAACTGGTTGTCACGGCGACATGCCCCGCTCTGTGTGCAGGATTAAAGCAACAGATAAAGAACGAATGCAAAACAAGGACTTGTGATAGATACGGCTGTGGGCGGCGCTAACGCTCGACACCCGGCCCTGCCAGGTTCAGCTCGGGAACAGCGCCCTCTAGCTGCCAGTGTAACAGTCATTAATTGGTCTGATGACTGCCAGCCTCGTGAAACGCTCTGTACTGATGTTCGAGCCTCGAAACTTTACTCCACACTCTGACAACACATGAGAGGAAACCACCAGGTTCAGCCACTGCTGTCTGAAGTAACAACAGATTGAGAGTTTCTGCTCTGAGCAGCGAGAACGTCTGTGACGGTGGAAACAAAAGAAAACAAGAAGGTGAGTTTTAAAGCTCCACGTTTCTTCTTCTTCTGTGTTTTATTTGAAGTGTTGATCCATCAGAAGATATAAAAACCATCTCAGTGTAGTTTTACATCTCCTCTCTCAGGCTTCTCTCTGGAGCTCTAGTAACAACAGGTCAGTGAGCCAATCAGAAGAGAGGAGGCTCTGAGCCTCTCTTCTGATTGGCTGACTGTTTTCTGACTGATCCAATAAAAATATAGCAGATTTCAGGTAAAAACACTCAGAGAAACCAAATCCTGCAAGGGTTGGATGGTGGGTCCAGGTGGGCGGGGCTTGGTGACTGCTTTGTTGTGACATCACAAAGTTCCAGAAGTCCTGACGGCTGGTTTTAAGGCTCAGTTTCTGAATACAGGCTGTGTGCATTTCTCTGTGGACTGAGGCTTTGATACTTTCACAGTATTAATATAGAAGCTAGAGCTGATCTATAATCACACTACACATGGACACAGACCTTTACACTGGAGGAGCTGTAAACATGTAGTTGAGTCAGAGGCTCCTGATGCAGCGTCACACGTGACCGGCTCCATCACTGAGTTCTTTACAAATAAGAAATGTACATGAAGTTGATAAAAAGCAAAAACCACCCGACTAAATTAAAGAAGGAAGCTGCGGCCGGATGGTCAGGAGGTAAGTGTTAGATTTTTTTTAACGGTGTTTCAGTTCGTCTCTTCAGCTGCAGGATTTTCTCCTGTCAGGATTCTTCAAGATGATAAAAGGATGAAAAAAAATACAAGGAGATTAGAAAAGTGTGGATTTCTACACTGCACAGGCTCACTGGTGTCAGCCAGATTATAATAATAATCAGGTGTAACTGAGACACACACGCGCGCACACACACACACACACACACACACACACACACACACACACACACACACACAGCAGCACTTTTGTAGGTTTACAAAATAATCTCAGTAATATGTGCACACTTATAAATAGTGTATATAACACACACACACACACACACACACACACACACACACACACACACACACACACACAAACACAGATTACCAGCCTCTATCAGATGTGGTATCACGTCAGCCTGGTTGTGATGTTAAAAGCTCAGCCTTTGGGCTGTATGTTAAACAGATAAGGAGTGGAGCATTTTAGGGATTAAAACTACAAGACACACACACACACACACAATCCTGAGGGAGTGAACAGCGATAACCCAGTCATTATCATACTTTCATAATTCCATTTAATAATTCAGCTTAGCCGTGGCAGCAGCTGGATGTTGAGGAATAATTGAAGTCGGCTGTGGTGAGAAATCAGAGGGTGAATTATGAGGAATCACTGCGCTAATAATTTAAAGGTATATTATGAGGAATAATTTAGCCTCAGAAAAGCTCAAAGGCAAATCATCAGAAATAATTCAGATAACAAAATGGAGTAAAATCCTCACTCGCTCTGTCTGACTGGGTCTGGATCGGATCCCGGACTCAGGACAGGAAACAGAGACACGGAGAATGACCCAGAATTCATAATCATTCATGAAGTCTGGACCTAGCACCATGATGAGGCAGTGAAGCTTCATTACAACATGATACTCCTTGAATCCCTCCCACTACAGAGGCAGGGAACGTAAGGTTTGTCCTGAAGGTGGCGCCAGAGAAAAGAAAAGTTTTATTACCTAAATCAAAGCGGGTTATCTCCTGTACGGTGGCCTTCTTAGGACATGTCATGCTCAGCTCTTCACCGTCTGACCGACCTCAACATTCATCAGTCTGAGCTGAATGCTAGCACGTTACCATGCTAACATTAGCTCATCAGTGTGCATACAGTGTAGGCACAAAAACTGCGTGGTTAGGTTTAGGAAAAAAATCATTGTTTAGGTTACAACAAGTACTTTGTCGTCATGGTAACAAGCGGTTAAGGTTGTGGTTTGGGTTAATATGAATGCTTTGTTGAGGTTAGAGGACCGTGGTCGTCATGGTTACAGTAAGGTTAAGGTTGTGTCTCATTTAAAATGGACACAAGTAAAAAGTAGTAACAGTAAACATGCAAATAAAAAACAATGCTAACATGTAGTAATTAGCGTTTTATCATGCTAATCTCATGATGTTATTGTACTCAAGAACTCCTCCAATGACCTGATGCGACAGTTGTCATGGTTACCATAATAAACATGCAACTGTACCACTATCCTGTGTCACATTCATCCATCCACCACCTCCTCCTGACGTGGACTCTGTCTCTTTATTCTACGTCACCGACACTTTCCCCTTCGCTCCTGTCGTCGGAGGACAGACTCATTGTCCTACATGAGCATCAATCTGCTTCAATCTGCAATCTCAACCTGAACCAGCTTCTCTGGGAATCAGTCGAACATCCTGAGAGATTGTGAGTGTCTGTGTGTGTGTGTGTGTGTGTGTGTGTGTGTGTGTGTGTGTGTGTGTACAGTACATTGATTCTGCATCATGTTGAGTGGCTGAATGATGCAACAGTGCAACAACAACTGGAAATTATTTATCAGAAACCCAAGACACTGGAAACTTTACTGGATCATTTGTGTGTGTGTGTGTGTGTGTGTGTGTGTGTGTGTGTGTGTGTGTGTGTCAAGCTTGTCGTTGTTCATCGATGTGTGAACCTGCACACACACACTCTATCCACATGCATTTCCCGCCTCATTTCTGAGTGTGTGTTCACATAGTCAGACAGTTTCAGCCGTGAACAGATCCTACCTGTAAAATGTGGCTGCCCAGGTGAGGTTCGAAGATCTCTGAGGCAATGGCACTGGGACTCCTCCTCCGCTGGGTACCGATAGCTAAACACACGCACACACATACACACAAATGCACATACACACACACACACACACAAGGAGAGAAAAAGCACAGGACAGGACAGAAGGAGACCGGTGAGACTCAGACACATTGATACGAGCAAAGCTACACACACACACACACACAAAAATACATATTCTCTCACACACACACACACACACACACACACACACACACACACACACAAAAAACACACTCACTTTTATACAGCCTAGCGTGACGAACACACATGGCACAGGACAAGAGGAACCAGTGAGGTCAGCTCTGCAGAACAGTGTGGAACAGTGCAACAGGTTAGCATCGTTAGCGCTCCTCATTGAAACCAATGACAACAGTTAGCCAAATCCGTCGGGGTCATGCGAGGAGTTAACGATGCTAACAGTGAAGAAACTAACAAACATTCAAAATCACCTTTTCAACAAGAGCATGAAATCAGACGCTTCTCGTCTGCAGGAAGGAAAGTTTCACATTTGGACATTTTGTGCGACATTGTGAAACAGCGTCTCAGGAAATCAGCTGTTAGTGAACATCGAAACACAGAATCAAACAGTCACTCCAGCATCATTACATTACATTTCACTACACTACATTACAGGTAAAATGAAAGCAGAAACTCCAGCAGGTCAACAGGAAGTGCTGCAGCTGAAGCCTCCGCCTGCGTCCTGTTGTCTCCCCGATCTCCCGCCAAGAACCCTGTGTCTTCTGATGTCTTCATGGTTCTTGGCGGGAGATCGGGGAGACAACAGGACGCAGGGGGAGGCTTCAGCTGCAGCACTTCCTGTTGTCTGAGAGGTTCTGCTCGCCGCACCTTCCTCACATTAAGAGATTCTGCCAATGTAAAACGACTCGCTGAGAGACGACGAGGCTGAAGCTGAGGACTCGTCAGACAGGTCTGCCCCTCAGTGACAGAGAGGACGAGAGAGGGCATCTCTCTCTCCCTCTGGCTCTCTCTTTCCATTTTATTATTCTCAACTTTCTATCCATCACTGTTCATCTCTGGAGAGAGAGAGAGAGAGACAGACAAGATAGAACGAGAGAGAGAAACGGTTTATAGCTTTCTAAAATTTCACCCTGAGGGCAAAACTCTCTCTAAAGACAGAAACTGAAAGTACAACAGCCAGAGAGAGAGAGGGAGAGAGAGAGAGAGAGAGAGACAGAGAGAGAGAGAGAGAGAGAGGGAGAGAGAGAGAGAGAGAGAGACAGAGAGAGAGAGAGAGAGAGAGGGAGAGAGAGAGAGAGAGAGAGACAGAGAGAGAGAGAGAGAGAGAGGGAGAGAGAGAGAGAGAGAGAGACAGAGAGAGAGAGAGAGAGAGAGGGAGAGAGAGAGAGAGAGAGAGACAGAGAGAGAGAGAGAGAGAGAGGGAGAGAGAGAGAGAGAGAGAGACAGAGAGAGAGAGAGAGAGAGAGGGAGAGAGAGAGAGAGAGAGAGACAGAGAGAGAGAGAGAGAGAGAGGGAGAGAGAGAGAGAGAGAGAGACAGAGAGAGAGAGAGAGAGAGAGGGAGAGAGAGAGAGAGAGAGAGACAGAGAGAGAGAGAGAGAGAGAGGGAGAGAGAGAGAGAGAGAGAGACAGAGAGAGAGAGAGAGAGAGAGGGAGAGAGAGAGAGAGAGAGAGACAGAGAGAGAGAGAGAGAGAGAGGGAGAGAGAGAGAGAGAGAGAGACAGAGAGAGAGAGAGAGAGAGAGGGAGAGAGAGAGAGAGAGAGAGACAGAGAGAGAGAGAGAGAGAGAGGGAGAGAGAGAGAGAGAGAGAGACAGAGAGAGAGAGAGAGAGAGAGGGAGAGAGAGAGAGAGAGAGAGACAGAGAGAGAGAGAGAGAGAGAGGGAGAGAGAGAGAGAGAGAGAGACAGAGAGAGAGAGAGAGAGAGAGGGAGAGAGAGAGACAGAGAGACAGACAGACAGACAGACAGAGACAGTGGGGTATTAAAACTCACTAAAAGAGAGATTTTTCTGCCCTGAGGTAATTTTCTCCTCTCTACACAACCTCCGTCCTCGTCTCCCTGCAGACCTCATTACACCAAATTTACACACACACACACACACACACACACACACACACACACACACACACACACACACACACACACACACACACACACACACACACACACACTGCTGTCGTTTTTTCGGGGCTAATGTAGTTGAATTAGGCTCAATTAATGATGTAATGAAATGCCCTTGTGAACGAGAGACTTTAAAAAGGGGGTGAGGGGAGAAAAGACAAAAGAGGGGGAAGAGGAGGAGGAGGGGTGACTGAGCTGAGGGAGGAAGGAGCTCAGTCTGATGTTGTGGGGGGGTGATGATGATGATGATGATGAAAAGGAAGTGGACTAACATGAAGAGGAGAAGGTCAGAACGACGTGAAGAAGAGAAGGACAAAGGAGGGGTGAGGACTTTGAGGGAGAAGAAACACTGAGATGTTAAAACCTGGGGGGGAGGAGGGAGAGGGGCTGAGGAACAAGGAGGTAGGAGGCAGATGAGGATATGAGGAAGAGGAAGATGAGGAGGTCAGAGGAGGTGGGGAACAGCTGGGTGAGGAGGAAGATGAAGAGCAAGAAATAAGAAGAGGAAATGGAGGAGGAGGACGAGGATAGAGGAGAATGAAGAGGAGGAGGAGGAAGGAAAGGAAGTGAAGAAGAAGATCCTGCCTGTAAGGACATTAGGTTTAAAGAGGAGGAGGAGGAGGAGTGTGCGTGCGCGTGTGTGTGTGTGCGTGTGTAGCTGCTGCAGGAGGGTTGGATTAAAGGAGTAAAGGACAGACACCTGACTGATGGAGGCAGAGAGGACCAAGTGTGTGTGTGTGTGAGTGTGTGTGTGTGTGTGTGTGTGTGTGTGTGTGGGGGGGGGTACAGTACAGGTACATTGCCAATTCAATTAGTGGTAGGTGTAAGAACACTGGTGAGGGGGCGGGAGAGAGAGGGGGGCGGAGGGGGGGCATTTTGGCAGCGTGTCAGAACACAGTTTATCAAGATCTAACAAAAGACTTCAGGGATGGAGAGAGAGAAGGATGAGGGGAGGACTGAAGGGAAAAGGGGGCGGGGTTGGGGGGTTCTGTAAACATGTTGATTTCTGCTGTAAAGTTGGACATTTTAACATGGGAGTCTATGGGGACTGACTCACTGTTGGAGCCAGACTCTAGTGGTCGTTAGAGGAACTGCAGCTCTCAGCTCTCTGGAGGTCAATGTGGTTCAACATGTGACAAACAAACATGTAAAAACAACGCTGCCTCCAAAATATCCCAAACATCCTCTTATCAAATGTTTCATGAAAGATACAATTAAAGAAATGAAGACAGAAATATTTCAGTCTCCAGGAGCGAGTGATGGAGTGAAGAGGAAGAGGGGAGGACAGGGGAGAACGTAGAGATGTAGGGGAGGAGGGAAGAACGAAAGGAAAGATAGAAGAGGAGGGAAAGAGGGCTTTTTACAAAATGGCTGAATGATGCACTGTTAATCACACACGCACACACACACGCACGAACGCACACACACACACACACACACGCTCAGCCTCCCCAGGCTGTTTAAAAAGTCATCAGCAGAGGAGACATTTGTTTTAATTAGTATCTTTTTAAAGGCGTCTTTCAACCACTTTAACTTTTCATGACCGGTTCTGCTTAATAACCCATGCTGCCCCCCCCCCTCCCCCCCATCATCAAACTTTAAGCGTGGGCCTCGCCCTGTGTAACGAGCTCTCAGACAGATCAGCCCTCCCTCTAAATGGAGGCTGCTTCTCCAACAGAAAAAACCAATGAATAGTTAATCATCAGTTTCAGCTTTAAAGACAGACGACGTAACTGTTACTGAACGATGATGAAACGACTTTTTAATGAAACATTCAGTGTTATTTTATTTATTCTTTTACTTTAAAGCTGTTTAATGTTGGTCTGTGACGGATGAGGACAGAGGAAGAAGAGTCACACACTGATCTGACTGTCTCCTTTAATCTGTGTTTCATATCTGAGTTCAGGTGAAATACAGACACTGAATCTTACAGTTATTATATATAGGTATTATATATATATATATACTGTATATAGGTAAATACTGTCAAAATAAAACAAACCATCACCTCTCATTAACAAACTGATCTGTGCAGCAGAGACATGCTCATTTACAGGTGTGTAACAGTGAAGACCTGTGGTATGAGGCTGACTGAGGTGTGACAGAGCAGCTCACAGCTGGTCACACAGATGAGAGCCCCCCCCCAAACAGAGTCGCTCCGCTGAGCCTGCATCATTTCCCTCCTTCAGTCACACCTCCCACCTATAACCACCTGAGGACGAGGGGCGGCGGCTTACGTCACATGGACACCTCCCACCTCCTGATGTCACTATGAGACGGTTTGAGGTTTCCTCCCTCTACAGCTCTGAAACATTCAACCAGTCTCCAACAGGACTCAACCATTAGGGAAAATAAGCTCATTGCAATGTTTTTTACAATTATTTGTGGTTAAACTTGTTAAAGTTCCTTATGTTCTGTATTATTCAACAAACACAAGCTATAAGTCATTCTATATTGTGACCAACAGTCAGACAGACTGAACATGCACGGTTCTTTCCTCAGGCCCGGCCTGTACGTCATATTTCTATCTAACTGCTTCAGTCACAGTAGTTCACTGACTGGTTAGTTTAACCTACAGCTTGTAAACATGTCAAAGTGTCCGTCGTCATGTGTGGTCTTCATTAATGAAGTGTAAGACTCTGACGGGGCTCCGCTGCAGGGCCTGACCGCAGGTCAGCTGTGGGAGAGTATTTGTTATTGTTGTGACACGCTGACCGCAGTATGTGCGGGAGGACACGCTGCTGTGTGAATCAGCGGTAACCCCAGGCTGCGTCCCCGCGCCGAGAGGCATCGTATCTTTATCAACTCTGTTATTAACTCTGAGTAATTTCCCTGTGACGTTCTGAGCTGAATGCTAGCACGTTACCATGCGACAGTTGTCATGGTTACAATAATAAACACACAGACTGTACCCAGAGCGT